ACAATTTTTTTTTTTTTCTTTTGATACCAGGGATTGAACCCAGGGACATTTGACCACTGAGCCACAACCGCAGCCTTTTTTTTTTTTTTAATATTTAGAGACAGGGTCTCGCTTAATTGCTTAGGGCCTCACTAAGTTGCTGAGACTGGCTTTGAACTTTCAATCCTCCTGCCTCAGCCTCCTGAACTATTGGGATTTCAGGTGGGCGCCCACCATGCCCAGCTGTCAATTTGTTTTTAATTGTAGCAAAATATACATAAGATTTATCATCTTAACCATTTTTAAGTGTACAGTTTGGTAGCATTAGGTACATTCACATCTGTGTATAACCATCAACACCCATCTCCAAAACATTTCATTATGTAAATCTAGATCTCTGTATCCTTAAATAACTCCCCATTTCCCCCACCCCCTACCCCTGGAAATGCCCAATTTACTTTTTTTTAAAATTTTCTTTTAGTTGTAGATGGACATAATCTCTTTATTTATTTATTTTTATGTGGTGCTGAGGATTGAATCTAGTACCTCAAACATGTGAGGCAAGTGCTCTACCACTGAGCCACAACCCAGTCCTCCCAGTTTACTTTTGATTTCTTTGGATTTGAGTAGTCCAGTAGTAGTTCATCTAAGTAGATTCATATATTGCCTTTTTGCTTATGATTTCACTCAGTGTAGTGTCTTCAAGTTCATCCAGGTTTCAAGTTGGAATTTTCTTTATTTTTAAAGCTGAGTAACTTTCCTTTGCATGCATATACCACATTTTCTTTAGTTTTGCATCCATCTATGAATACGAGTTGCTTCTACCTTATGGCAATTGTGCACAATTCTGCTATAAACATGTTGCATGAGTATCTGTTTGAATCTATGCTTTCGTTTCACTATAGCCCCAGCAGTGGAAATGCTAGATCATATAGTGATTCTAATTTTAATTTTTTGAAGGATCAACATACTATTTTCTTTTTTTTTTATTAGTCGCTCAAAACATTACAATTAGTTCAACATACTATTTTCCATAACAAMTGTGAGGACAATGTTATACCGGTCATCATCTTCTCTTTCTTGTGGCTGACCTTCCCATCAGTGTTCCCTCTCAACCCTGGTGTGAAAGCATCCCTTTCTCTGAGCAGATGGGTTGTCTCTGCAGATAGTTCCCTGGAGCTGAATCCCAGCCTGTCCCTTCTGTGCTCTCCAGAACCACTGGCCTTGACATCCTTTCCTGGGCAAAAGGCAAAGACAATGTTTTCTTTTCCCTGCCCAAATTATTTGGTCCCTTCTCACCCTCCCCTAAGTAAACATTTATATGTTGAGATAATTTGATCAATGCCAAACATTATTTTCTCATTCTAGGAAGCTTCGGACTAGGTCTCTGCTCTAAAGCAACCATGGAATTAAAGATGGCCAGCCCACCTTCTCCATCCTATTCAAAGACAGCCACTATTTATTTAGCATTTGACCGTGCTAAGCACTGAGCTAGGACTTTACATACATCATCATCACACTTGATCTTCACCACAATATATCACAGATGAGGAACTGGTCATAGTGAGGTTAAGGAATTTTCCTGAAATCACAGGGCTAGAGAACAGAAGAGGCACATGGTCTTGGGGTTTACTTTATGCTGCAGGGGCAGTTGTGGGTCAACCAACCTCCTTCGTTCCATTCCTACCTTCCAAACAAACACAAGGCTGGAGACTGATAGATGAAGATAAAACATAAGCAATATTTTTGATAAAGTCCACTGGAGTATGTGTGCATAATTCTTGCTGATCTTTCAGGGTCCCCCTTCCCCTTCTAGATCTAGACATGAAGGTACTCCCTCTAGATGGCAGCCTGCTCTGTGGTGTCCAACACTGACCCCAGATTACTCTTTGCGGTGGTCTAGGTGGAAAGGTTAAAAAGACAGTTAACCTTCTTTGCGATTAATAAGTTAATAAATTAGGTTGGTTCTATCCATGTAGATAGAAATGGATTTCTCCCAAAAGTCAGTAGAAGGTRCGGCAGAAACTAGAATTCTTATCTTGTAGAAGATACTCAAAGAAAAAAGCTGAAATGTGGAGAAAGGAGTTTCTCTTCCTTCCACCTGAGAAACTCCTGCTGAATTAGGGGGTGGGAGCTTTCAACAGACTGAATCCAGCAATTCTTCTCCAGAACTTTGAGGGGAACTCAGTACTGCTTTCTTCATAACGTTTAAAAGCGGTTACAGGAAATCAAGTCCTGGCTCCATCACTTATTAGCTGTGTGACTTTAGATATTCATCCAGCCTCTCTGAACTTCGTTTTCCCTATCTATCAAATGACAATGATAATCATTTTTTAATGTTTTAAGATAATGAATGTAAAGACCATAAGCTATTAAGAATTCACTGAATATTAAGGGGGAAGATAGATTATAATTTCTATTGCATGACAGGAAAAAAACTCTTGGTGAAAGTTTCTATCCCTGGATACTCTCCTGTAGAAAGCAACAGTGCTGTTATGAACAATCTTAGATGAAAATTTTAAATTGGCTACTGTTGGAATTTGAGCTGCTAGTTAAACTTGGGTACTAGGAGATCAGCAGAGAGGAAAAAAGACAAGAGACCCTGGGAGGTTCCCATTTGTGGGGAACAATGGAGTGCAGTTGTCAGCTTTGTTTGCAGGGCTGAGTGATGGCCAGACATGTAGGCAGGGAGAATCGCCTCTATCAGATACAGGTTTTTGTTGTTGTTGTTTTTTAGTTAGAAGTCATTTAGATACTTAGATTCCTTGTAGAATAATGGAAATGGAAAAAAAACCCAAAAGGCCAAAAAACTCTAGATATCTGGCCCTGATCTCTCAGATTTAAAAAAGTGAGAATTAGAGTTATATGGTATTAACCCATGTGGTGCACATAGCTAGATAGCGAGTGTGGAGGTTAGTACCCAGTCTCTCTGTATCAAATCAATTATTTTTCTCTTGAATCATCCTGACTTCCTCTGACAAGTTTAAAATCTGAACCCAGAAATACGTTTTATCCCAGGAGCTCATGGAGCTCCACCGAAATCCTGAAAAATGTTTATTTATTTGTTTTAAAGGACAACTAACAATTATCAGGCACCCATATATATTAAGATGATATTAAGAGTCTTAATTCCCCAACCAATGAAGAAAGGGAGCTACCACTGTCAGCTCCACACTGAACAGGAAGCTGAAACTTAGCTTACTGAGGGTCACTCTGGGTGTCTGAGAGGCAGGATGCTTTTAGTTCAAGTCTGTTTGATTCTACAGAAATCTACTCATTTACATGCCAAACCTATTTTCCCAAGGATGTGGTTTCAAATATAATGGTTTCTTTGCTTAAAAAAAAAAAAAAGCATTGTATGTAAATATTAATAGTGGTTTCCAAGCAGGCAGAAACAATCTTTGGAAACACAGATGTTTTTAAAAGAAAAATCAAAACCTACTGCTCAGATTTAAGTTAATTCTAACGAGATACTAAAAAACTTTCAAGTTAGTCCTTGATACTCTTTTTTTAACAATATTAAGACGGATTTCATTTATGAGGGCTTCATGCAGATCTTGTTAGTTACATAAAATAGAAATAAAATGGAATATTTAATTATATTATCTTTCATGCTGTGTCTATAAAATTTTCCACAGCTTATTTTTTAGAATATTTTTTTCTGCTTTTAACATACATGCTCATTGTCAAAAATTTGGGGAACTAAAAGAATAAAATAAAATCTGCCCATATTTTTACCACCTAGTAGTACTACTTTAATATCTTGGCGTGTTTTAATTGGTAGCCTATTTTTTAGAACAGTTTTAGGTTTACAGAAAACTTAGTGGAAATTGTACTGTTCTGATATACTCTCCCTCATACTCCCTCCCTCCACACAGTTTCTTGTATTGTCAACAGTATTAGTCCTGCACATTTGGTACAACCCATGAGTCAATACTGATAGGCTATGAACAACTACAGATCATGGCTTATAAGAGGTTCATTCTATGTTTTGACAAGTGCATAATGACATATACCCACCATTATATGATCACACAGGTTAGTGTTTTCAATATTTAAAACATCAATTCATTGATTTTCATTGGGCAATATATTAATTGTCCTTTTGTCTAAAAATTGTGGATATTCAATTGTAAAAGTAATACATGTTTATGATAATCGTGCTTGCACATTATAACCAATCAATGGAATCATCTTAAAAACTACACTTTTTTAAAAGAATGCACTTATTTTATGAATTCCATTAGTTGTGTAACAAACAGGAAATAATCATGGAACATTTGGGGCACAGAAGGGTTTGCATCCCCTCTGTGGTTTTCATGTGAATCAATGATTAGGACAAATAAGAAAGGGGATGGTCCTTTGAGTTCACTGAAACACCCTCACAAGACTTGCCCCAGGTCCTGGGGAAACCAGTAGGTTGGAGCATCCTCACCTTGGGGTTCCCTTCACTCAGAAATCAAGCGCAGCCTTCGSCCCAGGTGAACTACAGGCAGAAGTGGGGCTAGGAGTGGGGACCCTTGCCCAGGCGAAGAGGCGGCTTCTCCCTCTTCAGGCTGGGGGTGGGGTGGGGCAGCCTGCGAGCTGCAGTGGGGGGTAGGTGGGAGGCTGGAAGAGAGTGGCGCTGGGTAGGGGGCGGGCGTTGTGACTGGAGAAACAGGGATGGGGCTGAGGCGTGAGGAAGAGGAAAGGGGCGTGGTAGGGGGGTAATTTTTTTGGATGGGGTGAAGTGAGAGTGGGGAGGACTCCGGGGTGGAGCTGGATCTCAGGATGGAGTAGAGTGGAGGAACTGTGCAGAGGGCCAGGCCTCGGGGTGGTTGCCAGCGAAAAGCCGCGCCACGGGGCCAGGCCAAGGGGTAGAGCTGGGCCCGAGGTGGGGGGGGGGGCGGTGTGAGCCGAGCAGGGGCGTGGCCTGAGGTGAATCGGCGGGGCGTGCCGGGGCTGGGGGCGTGGCCGGAGGGAGCTGGGCCGGGGGGCGTGGTTTGGGGGAGCCGGCGGTGGCCGGCGGGTGGAGGCTCGGCTCCGCGCTTTCTCCCGCGGCTGTCCCAGAGCCTCCAGCCCCGAGGCCGCGCCGGAGAGAACCCGGCGAGCTCGGGGCTCTGCTGGCCTGGAGCCGTCCCTGGGGGCAGGGACGTCTTGGAGACGTTGGCTTGGAAGGCTCCGTCAAGTGGAGAGAGCGCGAGGTGAGGCTGCACCGGGGGCGCTCGGGTCTGCCTGGCGCGGGCTGTTCGCTGGGCGCGCAGGGAGTAATTGACGGCCTCAGGGACTTGAGGGTAGACCGCTCTCAACTCCTCCTCCCGGTTCGTGGGCTCTGCCTGGGCTGCTCACCTTTTGGGCCGCTGTTTGTGCTCCCTGCCGGGCAGTCGTTACTTGGCGCCCAGCAGCCTTGCCTCGGGTCAGAGCGTGCTTGTGGTGTTCCTGCTGGAGGCGGTTTCCTGCTGGACCCGTCCAGGGATTACCCTGAAACTCTACCCCGCGCTCCCCGCTCACTGGCCCGGGTCTGAGGGGGTGGCGTCGGGGGAACGGACAAAGGTTGAGTAAACCCTGGGCTGCCCAGAGACTCCTTTAACGCTCCTTTAACGCTCCGCTCACTTCAGCGGCACGACCTGTGCTTCCAGAGGACCGGTCGGGGATGCGGTTGGAGAACTTGGCTTAGAAAGCAAGTTTTTCCCCCAGTTCCCTACTGGGGCTTATTCCAGGAGAAAGACTTTGGCACTTGATGTCTGTCCTTACTTGACTGAAAGGGAGTGAGCTGGCAGAGTTGGTTTGGCACCATTTCTGTTCGGGAGGTGGAAGAATGATTAGTCCCAGGAAGGTAGAAGCCGGCGCTGCTGCCAGCATCAGGGGGAACTCAGGTGACCTGTGTTGGCGGGCCACCCATCTGACTGAGCAGTTACAGGATCGGAGCAAATTTCCCTCCCTCCAATTGGAAAAAAAAAAAAAAATCAAAGCCAGCAAGTCTGGGTTAGTTGCTTCCCAGCGTTGGATAATTATATTGATAAATAGAATAATTGATATTTATTTAGCCTTTGTAACCATGGTTTCCCAAGTCTGCACCTCAACTCATTTTCTGTTGCCTAGTGTTTTCTTCCCTATTAACCCCTCCAGATCGCCCAGTTCATTGCCCTCTTTTATTCTTACTAACAGGCAGGGAAATTTCATCCTATTTTAATTTTTTTGTTTCCACTCTATTTTCTTTCCCACCTTTCTAACAAACGCCCAGTTTCTCTTTTAGTCTCCCCTCCCCCCACTTTTAAACTTCCTCACCGCATTGTTCTCTGGTTAATTATGCACCCCTCCATGTGCTGCAGAAACTTGTTCTCTGCCCCTTCCCCATCCTCCGGCTCTTTATGTGGCTGTTTCTTCTTATCCAATATTTTAATTTGCATCTACCTTCTTAGGCCCCCTAATTTGCCATTCTTCACCTCTCTCCCAGTTCTAAGGTTCATTATATCCTCCTTTATTTTTGCTCCTTTGCTTGTTTGGGTGTCCCATCCTGTCCCCCCTACCTCCTCCTTCTGCAGGCACTTTCTTCCCATTTACCTCCTTTTTCCTGGCAAGTGCTTTCTCCAGCACTCTCCCTGCTGCCCTTGTAAGCACATCTGGTCTCTGGTCCTTCTGTTGTGCTTTTTCACAGTCCCTTAGCATCCCTAGGTTCCTTTTCCTCCTTTCCATTTAGCACTCCATTACCTTGCATACATCTGTATTTCAGAATGTCTAGGAGGAGACATTCTGAGGAGGAGGGGGCAGCTGCCTTTCCTCAGGAGTGATCTGGATCTCAGGACCTTCCCATTTGCCACTGTTTCTTTTCTTTCTTTCTTTTTTTTAACTGAAGCAGAATAGCACATAGAGTTCTTGAATGATGTTAATACTGACATTAATATGATTATTAGGTAGCGTTTATTAAACACTTGCTGTGTGCTAAACACTGTTCTGAGGGTTTACATGTAGTTAATACTCATTTAAAATCCTCTTTATATCCCTGTAATGTAGAATCTACATTGTCCCTATTTTACCAATGAGAAAAGGGAACTCAGAGAAGTAACGGACTAGGTTTCTCATGGCTATGCAGTGGTGGAAACCCTCTTCTCACTAGGCACAGAGCTTCCATGCTATAGGACTGGCCTCTCAAACTCAGGCATGCTTGGAGTTTAGCTTTAGAAATGAGGTCATTATTTGACATGTTTTATTTAGTCTGCTATGTACACTTGTTGAGGACACAAACTCTTATAGGACCATGCTGGAGAAAATTTGGAATGCCTGGTGTTCTCTAGAATGCCTGAGGATAGTGCCTGGGCTGTCAGTTCACCTGTGCCTTCTGTCTGCTTTCCCTCAGCCAGGAAGAAAAAATGTCATAAAAAAGACCATTGCCAATCATCTCCTGTGTCGTGAAAGTTCAGTTTCACTTTAGCTGGATGGACTTTGGGGTCCCTGAGAACTGTGTGATTTTATAAGACTTGTTTATTTCTGTTTCATTGTGCAATCTTGAAGCCTTGATCAAACATTTCCTTGTTAGTTTTCACCCTCCTAAGAGTTGGAGGCAAGTATTTCTACATTTACAGATACTGAGATAGACTGTTGTTGAAGTTATATACTTTGGTAGCTGGAAAGAACTTCACATTCCACAGATGAAGAATCTGTGGCCCAGAGAAATAAAATGACATATCCAAGGGGAAGCAGCAGAGGAGTAGAGCTGCCCATGGGGCTCTATAGCTTGGTGGGTTGATCTCTCTGCTCTTGAAAGTGACAAACTGTCTTTCCCTTCCCTTCCATTCCTTTCCCTTCACACTTTTTTTTCCATGTAAAAGCTAAATATTTTGAAATGTTTGCTTTTGAGACATGTAATGGCATAATTAGAAATATAAATTTAGATGTTTTAGAAAGAACTATTTCTAAAATGTGAGGAAAGAACACCAAAGGTACGTGGCTTTCTAGAGGCACACTTTATAAGTACATGGAATATGAAAGTCAGTAACTGTGATGTTTGTGTTTTCCCCTTTGCTGAGAGAAATGCATTAGTACAAAGTAGGTACACAATTTTCTTCTCTGTATTGCAAATCAAACAGCAATGAGAGAGAAAGCAAGTCAAGGGCAAGAGTAGCTGCTGTTCTTGTATTGCCACCTCCCTGCCCCACAGTCTTCTCTGAGTTCCTACCTGTGCCCTCTTTGTGATTCCCCGCACCTTCAGGGAGATACAAGAGTCCTGTTTATATATGATGCCCAACTCCTTCCAGGACAACTTTTCCGGGCAGAATGAAACCCTGCTGCTCTAAGGTGTGCATTGTGTGTAATGGCTTCACTATTCTCTTAGACTTCTAGAGTGAAGCAGGTGGCCATGGACCCCTTGGGAGAAGAGAGAAAACTTCTTTTTTTAAAGAGAGARTTTTTTTTAATATTTATTTTTTAGTTTTCAGCAGACACAGCATCTTTATTTGTATGTGGTGCTGAGGATCGAAGCCAGCGCCGCACACATGCCAGGCCAGCGCACTACCACATCCCCAGCCAGGACACTTTTTTTTTAAAGATTTTTTTTTTCTAAAGATGGACACAATATCTTTATTTAATTTATTTTTACATGGTGCTGAGGATCGGGCCCAGTGCCTCACATGTGCGAGGCAAGTGCTCTACTGCTGAGATATAATCCCAGCCCCTGGAGGAAACTTTTGAGCACATTGTTGGCCGTGTTTTGTGTCCAGATGAGGATTGTGTGGTGCCCAAAGCTCCATCATCAGAGGTGAAGCTGAGACTTGAACTGAGGATTGCCTGGCTTAGGAGATCCATGTGCATCCTTCTATAGCCTGTGACTCCCTGAGACAGAAAAGCTATTACAAAGCTTTTTACACCTTTTACCAGGTAGATGGTTCCTACTTGCTGAGCTGAAGAAGAAAAAGCACTGAATTGGGCAGCAAGGCCTATGAGCTTGAAGGCTCAGAAGAGTTCTGGGTCCAGTTTTGGCTCTTTCCTGGGTGTAAACGGTGCTGTCTGCCTCTCTCAACCTGGGGAACTGTGGCAAGCTCCAGAATGAAGAGAATGGTGCTGCTTTTTCCATGTGGTTCTGGCAATGTGTTGTGGTTGGGATGGCAACATAGGTAGATGCAGATAATAATCCATCTTATAGTCTTCACATTCCAATGTCCAAGATGACAGACTGTCCCTTGTCTAACCAGGACTACAAAGGATCTGATTTCCTGGTCAGAAACACTCCCACCCTTTTCCCTGAAGCAGGCCCTTCACTGTCTTTGTGAAATATCTAAGAGAGCTTAGGTGTTCTAATTTCATGGACCATGTACCTGTCTCAAAATTTTTCCCACTTGACCCTTACCTTCTTTTCAGGATTTAGCCACAAGGTTAAGGAACTCCACTTGTCTAATCCAGGAGAGGGGAAGGGCCAGCCTGTCCCCTCAACCTAAATTAACACTTTGGCAGAGATATGTTTTTTAAAATTGGCAAACTGTCCCTAGGAAAAAAAAATAGAACATAGGCCTCAAATGGCCAGACTGGAGCATTTTTGGTAGGAAAGCAACCTGAGGGGTCTCTAGGACCTTCCTCAGGCCAATTAGCTACCCTGTCCTCTTAACACTGCCCCTCTTAGTCACACCTGCCCCAGCACCCCTACTGTAGACTTCAACAAACTGGGAAGGGGGAATCTTTGCTGGAGCATGTGCAAGGGGAAGGGCGAATAAGCTTTTACTGTCTGACAGCAGCCAGATGGAAGCCCTGCGATGAGATGTGTTCCTGGTATTGCAGGTCAGACCTTCGGTCAGTCTCTGTTTTTTTAAGAAAAAAATACTGTGTAATAGGTACAGTGAGCAGTCTATTGTACTTGAGTGTTAAAATTATAACAGTGTCCTTAAACAAGACACCATGTATGATATAGATGGAGATAACAGGTCTTAAGTCTTGAACAACTTATGCTTGTTCTTCTGAACATATTCCACGTGTATGTTTGGACTCTGTGGTTCTAATGCTTCAGAAATGGGCTCCATTTCCATCCTTCCCAGGGAAGGCAAGGGAAAGACCGCTTTCCTGTGATGTTTAAGCTTCTTTCTAATTCATCACTAATTGACTAATTGGGGAATTATGTGGATTCATGGCTATTGTGATCACAGGCATGATAATACTTTCAGTGCTGGTTTGGAGGAACAAACGTATACCTAACACTTACTAGATGCTGAAGATGGAA